ATAATTGATTTGAGGTAAAGTACCAGATAGATATAATGATGAAATTGTCTGTACTAGGGATAAAGGAAGTTTTTTTGGAAACAAAGCTTCTCAAATAGCAAATCCCAGTTGCAAGTATCAAATGCTATGTTTGCATCTAAACTGCACATATATAATGGCGTGTTAATGTTATTATAGTGGTTTATAATTTTACTCAAATAAAAATTCTGCGTGTAGTGTACAGTTGTTTTTTTTTTAACCAAACTAATGCGAACAGTTTTCTATTATACTAAGGTATAAATGTATGATTAGATATTCTAGAAGTTTGGTAAAGATAGGTTAAATACTAATGCCACGGGAATTGTCTGGGAATCGGAATTGAAATTGCCGCAACTTGCTCCCAATTATTAGTTGACTAATATTTTTAATTATTTGACTAATATTTTCATTAGTTGACTAAAGTCAAGGTCAGAGAGTAGTAACCTCTAGGTTGGAAGAACTTGTAACCTAAAATTTTTTATTTATTTTTACCTCAAGTGCATTGTATATTTCAAGAAAATAATAAAATAATTTGTACTTAATATAAATTTAAATGTGTATGTTTGATAGTAAAGATATTGAGCCGAATTTAGTTACGATTTCTAATATAACCTATTTTATTATTATGATATCTAAGATTATTACTATTATTATCTGATATTATCTTAATATTATCTAATAAAAATATTACCGGGTCGGCCAGTCACGGAAGCCGTACCGAGGGAGAAATTTCGCCAAGGGAGAAATAAATCCTGGATCCTCTCCTGAAATAATCTTCTTTAAATTAGGAACTATCAATCTAATTTAGTTATAAAATATTTAAAATATTTTAATTAAAATTGAAAAATCTTTTGGAAATGTAATGTAAGTAAAACTCCGGTCAGGTCAGGTTATCCTGCTACTGGTAACATGTAACCCAGTACAATCTGCTTCATGTCTTGCTGCCTTGTAGGATACGTCTTTTTAATCTAAGGCTAGGAGATGCTAACTCGGACATAAAACAGAACCCCTGCCTTGGGGTTCTTGGTTGAGTAAAGGCTAGAGATGGTGTCTCGATAAAAATGCTCATCTTGGACATATGTTAAATGCATCCGGCTGCTATCGTGTAGAAGGCCTCCTAGGTAAAGACTTAAGGGGTGAACAGATTCTATCTTTTGACCAGCCTCGCACCCCTTCCTTATTTATTAGGCTGGAGCAGATGTATTTTTAGTACACTGTTTCCAGTTTAGGATGTTAAATGCTGGAGCTTCTTGACTCGATGCATTATTATCTCCTAATGAGGGTACAGCTCTAAAACTCAATTTTACGGTTCTGAGGCAGGATGGTAGTCAGGTTTCTTAAACTCTGCGATAGTTCTCAGAGAAGCTGATTCCATCAACTTTGTACTTTTGGTGTGCATTGCCAAGAACACATTAGAGCCCTTTGTTACGACTTAGGGTTTATTAATGGTAATGAGGCAATTGCTTGGGGTATTAAACAGTGTACTGGGTACTACCTATGCTTCAAGTCAAGTTCTTTAACAAATTTAAAAATGAATAAAGTACCAAAAACTATAAAAACCCAAAAAACAATATTCATCACCAAGTTCTCTAAACCTATCATTCACTAATATTCGTGGTCTTTGAAGAAAGTTTTCTTCTGTTGAGTCTTATCTCTTGCAAAGTTCACCAGACCTACTTGCTCTTTGTGAGACTAATTTGAGTTCAGCTGTCTCATCTTGTGATAAAACTACAATAGTCACATGCTTGGCCTGGACATATACATTTGTAAGAATTCACCCATTTGTCGGGAAACTAGGTTTGAATCCACAAACTACTCTTTTATGTGCTTACGTTTAGCACCACTTCACTCTGTCACCTTTTTCTTTGTTCTATATTGCTCTCCTTTATCTCAAAACTGCATTCTTCTTGATGTTATTTCTGATCATATTGACCAAGCCCTCTCTTTTTATCCATCAGCCAATATTGTTGTTGTCGGAGACTTTAATGTTCATCACACTGAATGGCTTGGCTCTAGTGTCAGTGACTCTGCAGACATTAAAGCCCACAACTTTTGTCTTTCTCAATCCCTAACTCAAATAGTCAACTTTCCAAATCACTTTCGAGACAACCTGAATCATTAATCTTCTCTACTCGACTTATGTCTTGTTTCTGATCCTAGTCAGTGCTCAGTTTCTCCACATTCACCCTTAGGTGCTTTTGATCACAGTTTAATCTCTCTAAAACTATTATCTCACTCTTCTTTATCATCTGAATCCCCATACCATCGTACCTCTTAGAACTACCTTAAAGCTGACTGGGACTCTTTCTGTGATTTTCTTCGTGATTACCCTTGGGTAGAAATCTTTTGTCTTCCTGTTGACAAATGTGCTTCTTACATAACTTCGTAGATTTAGAAATCTTTTGTTCCGTCTCGACGATTCCAAGTCAAGCTTCACTCTTCTCCATGGTTTTCCTCACATTGTGCTGCTGCAATTGCCAATCGAATCTGTTACTTCCATATCTATCAGCAAAACAATTCTTTAGAAAACAGACGTCTGTTTATTACTGCTAAAAACCATTGTAAAAATACGGATTTTGATCTTCTCGTTCTACAGCTGATTTGCTAACAGTAATAACCGATAGGTTTTATTGTGCATTAGATAAAGGTGGAGAGGTTAAAGCCATCGTTCTTGACATTTCTAAAGCGTTTGATTAAAATTTGCATGCTGGTCTTTTCCATAAACTTTCATCTTACGGTGTATCTGGTAACATCTTTAAGATTATTGAATCCTTCCTTCCCAATCTTAGTATAAAAGTTGTCCTTGATGGACAGCACTCTTCTTCTTATTCAGCAACCTCAGGGGTTCCTCAAGGTTCAATTATTGGCCCTATACTCTTTTTAATTTACATTAACGACCTTCCAGATATTCTTACGCCTAAGGTAGCATTGTTCGCTGATGGTAGTACCATTTATTCTTGTCATGATAAGAAGTCAACACTCTCTGATTGCATGGAGGGGGCGTTTGAGTTTGAAAAGTATCTCACTTCTACTACAGCATGGGGCCCACAGTAGCTAATGAACTTTAATTCAGATGAAAGTCATTTTTTTTCAGCCAATCGTTATTGCAATAATTTAGACCTTCCTATATTTATGAACGGTAATGTACTCTATGAGTCATCTACCCTTAGTCTTGTAGGATTAACTCTTACTTCCAATCTTTTTTGGAAACCATATATCAAATCTGTTGCAAAATTAGCATCTGATAAAGTTGGATCTCTTTATCGAGCTCGACACTTTCTTACTCCGGTCTCTATCTCTATAAATATCAAATCCAGCCTTGTATGGAATACTGTTGCCATATCTGGGGCGGATCTTCGAATGATGTTTTTTATCTTGTAGACAAGGTACAAAAACGCATTGTAAACATTGTTGAACCTGCTCTTGCAGCTAAACTTCAACTTTAATCACATCGTCCTAATGTTGCTTCTCTGTCTCTATTCCACAAATACTATAACGGGCATTCCTCTAAAGAGCTAGCGTCTCTACTAAAATTTGTTTATCTTTTTATTCGTCATTCAATTAAGTCCATTATCTGTGAATGTTCCTATGTGCTCCAAAAACTCTTATTCCTCGAGCTTTTTTCCTCGAACACCAGTTCTTTGGAATTCGCTTCCTTCATTCGTTTCGCTTCCTTCTTGTTTTCCTGATTCATATAATTTGCAATATTTTAAGTCGTCTGTCAATCGTTGTCTTGCTCTACATTCTTCATATATATGTATATATATATATATATATATATATATATATATATATATATATATATATATATATATATATATATATATATATATATATATATATATATATATATATATATATATATATATATATATATATATATATATATATATATATACATATACATATATATATATATATATATATATATATATATATATATATATATATATATATATTATATACTACTATATATATATATGTATGTATATATATATATATATATATATATATATATATATATATATATATATATATATATATATATATATATATATATATATATATATAATAATATTTAAATAAAAGTAATCTTATTTTCGTGAGTAACGCCTAGAGAATCGGTGCGGACTTGCGGAAATGCGGAGATTTTCAATGGTTTTAGATGGACAAAATTTATTTTGACTCCAAATACACGCGTTTAATTTTTTGTTCTAATTTTAAAAACGGTACTTAAATTGTATTTATATAAAAAGTATTTCCCATGTGCAAGAATAAACATATATACTTTTTCATTTCTTGGTATTTCTTAACTTAAAAGTTTTAAAATCTACAAGTCCAGCTTTTATAGAATACTTTTTGTATAAAATTTGCATAAGTTACAGTTATTGTTTTGTTTTTAATAGATTTTTTGTATAAACAATGCAAGCAGCCAAAACAGTTGGAGATGGAACGTTGGGCCCGAAAGAAATTGGTGTTCTTAAAACACTGATGAAATTTACTTTAGCAATGTTACTGGTACCAATTGTATCTTACTTTTTCCTGAAGACGTATTTTCTAGAAGGAATTCTTGGATACAAAGATGGTTCTGTTGGTTCTTGCATTATTACAGTCGTAATTGTGCATATTATAATTGCTCTATATATTTGGACAGCGATTGTCGAAGAGCGACAAGTGCAAAAAGAAGTTATTAAAAAAGACTAATATTTTTAAATTTAATTATTTTAAAATATTTTCTTGTTTTTTTTTTATGTCACAATTGTAGTTTTTCAACAAATTATTTGAAAGATAATATTAGTTTGCAATAATGATTAGATATGTATAAAGCCATGTTTATTAAAATTAGTCAATGTTTTGATTTGTTTTACAATTTTTTGTTTTTGTATTGATTTTCCATTCTTAATTTTTTCTCTATTTAATCATTTCTAAACAAAAATGCAAAAAAAATAATAATAATTAATTTATTTACTTTTAGTTTTACATGTTTCTATTTTCTGATATTTCAATTTTTGTTTAGAAAACTGTGTGTAAATTTATTGCACTATGAACCGTGAAATTCCTGGGTTTTACTTTGATACTGTAAAAAAAAAGTATTTTAAAATTACAAAAGACTTTAAGAAACCAAAACCTTCTCCTGAAAAGCGATTGTCTTTCAAGCGTGGTTGTACCTTGTTTGATAAACTGCAGCTTCGTTCTGTTTTTCTAAATCAGAGAAATTCTGTTTTAAAAGCGAGTCAATTGCATCTCTTTAACCAAATCTGCATGGGTGATTGGAAAAATGCTAAATGCATTCCATTGGAATTTTCTTCTTCACTATTAACAGCTAAAAAAGTATCTGTTTGTCCATTTGGGCAGATAGTTGTGATTTTTTCAAGACAAGATAAAGATGAATGTCTAAATATTATTGATGCAAGTTGTAGAAATAACTCTTTAGTTCATTTTTCATTAAAAGATGTTTTTAGTCTTGGCAATTTTCAAGGACAATGTTTGGCTTGGTCTCCTTTTCAAGAAGGCCATTTTGTATATTCTGGTGTTGGAACCTTCTCACAGAATTCTTTTGTAAACCTCTGCAAGCCTTTAAGTAACACCCATATTACTTTGTATCAAGATTTTAAAAATATAGGTTACAGTTCTGTTGGTTGGAGTAGCTATGATCAATCAGTTATAGGTGTTGGAGCACACAATTCCACTATATATCTTCATGATATTGTCAAAAGAAACTTCATCAGTACATATAAAGTAAACAGTTCTATTCAAGCGATTCATTTCAGTAAAAAGTTACCATGTTTTTTTACAGGATGTCAATGTGGATTTTTATATCAAATTGACTATCGGTCAAAAAATAAAATTTGTGTACTTGACAATAGTTCACAACTGTGCTGCATAGATTCTATAAAACTTCTTAATGACGAAAACTACATAATTCTGAGTGATCTAGGTGGAAAGTTGATAAAAACTGATATAAGAATGAAACGATGCGTAACGGAGTACATAGGACATATCAATAATTATTATCCATTAGATTTTTTTATTGACAGCTATGAAAAATTTGTTTTTACAATTGGTTCTGATTCTTATATTCGTGTTTGGGATATAAAATCAAGTCAACTTGAAATTAGTGTATGTGTTCAGGGAACTAGTAAAAATTTAGAAAAACCTTGTATTTCTTATTCACCAAATTTATGTAAAAATTATGATTATGGAGCCTTGTTATGTTGTTTTGAAAACAAGTTTCAAATTTGGCCATTAGTATGAGTGAACTTTTTCAGCATGCAGAATTAATTTTAGTAAGTCAAAGAAAATTTTATGTTATAATTTTTTATTTTACTCATTTATTTTACATTAAAAATAATTTTATGTATTTATAAATAAAATATTGATTAATTTACTTTCAAAACCAGAAAGAAGCTGTTCATATGTATATTTATATCTAATACTAATGAAGCTATATACACTTAAATAAGTAAGCTCAAAAAACTTACTTAAGTTGCAATGTTTTATCATATGACTTTTAACATATGACTGAAATTGCAAAGAAAGTAGAGTATCATAAAGCTTCAAGTTTAAAAATTATATTTTAAGAATTTTGTTTTTGTTAATCTCTTGTTTTTATAATGTCTATTTAATAATGTAACAGGTGATAAGTAATTATCCGGAGTGACTTTGTTTTGAAATCATTAGGTCATTTCTTGCACATGAACAAGTTTATTTATTTTTATTAATAAACTAGATTTAACGCACTACAATAATTATTTTTATCTTTCTAAATTATATTTAAAAGTTTGAATTATAAACTATGTCTAAAAATGAGCTCTAATGTAAACCTGTGCATAAGTTTTATGAAAGTAATATAAACGAAGGAAAGAAGTACATAGTTTATTATTTTGTATCTGAAGGAACAAGCAAATCAACCATTTATGATATAATCAAGCTATATAAAGATGGAATTGACACAACCAGGAACATGCAAATCAGCTGTTGTATTTGATAAACATATTTGTTTAAATCGAATGAGACATAATATATCATAATATTTATCACAAACAAAATTATCTGAGATGTTAAATTGTAGTCAACTGTTTCAATGGTTCTAAACTAGAGATTATTTGTTTTGAAAAAACTAAAATATCAGAAGTTTTGTTCAGATAGTTCAAATGTTGTTTCCTTTATATGAATTACTAAGGTTGTGATTGGGTTTTAGATAATGAATCTTATTTCACGCCCTCACATTTAACTATTAATGGAAATGAATTCTATTTTACTGATGATATACAAATGCTCCTCCATCAATATATATAATATATATATATATATAATATATATATATATATATATATATCAGGTTTGGTCGATCGCTCTCGATTGTTGACCACGTAAATAATATTTAGTTGCAAAAAGCTGGCTAGATTTTTTAGTCGTTTTGAGAACATTTTAAAAAGCAAAAAAAAAAAGCGACAAAGATTAATTGGACCGATGAAAGACAATTACAAAATAAATAAAAAATAGGCAAATAAAATATCTTTTAACGCAAAAAAACTTAAAGCTAAATAAATTACATTTAGAACAAATATTTTCGAAACATCGCTCTTTTATAATTTTTTTTATAAAATTAAGCGATATTTTTGATAATAAAATAAGCGATATTTGTTTCCCTTTTAAACAATTGCAAGTAACAACTTGCAATTTTTTTTTTTTTTTTTTTTTTTTTTTAACATCTTCTCTTCCAACAAGGCTGCAAGCAACCACTATAAGAGTTGGAAGTTACTGGAAGAGAAAAGACTAAATCTGTAGAGCAAGATAACGATTGACTGATGACTTAAAAGATTGCAAATTATATGAATCAGGAAAGCAAGATGAAGGAAGCGAATTCCAAAGAACTGATGTTCGAGGAAAAAAACTAGAAGAATAAGAGTTTTTGAAGCACTTAGGAACAGTCACAGAAAAAGGATGAGACTTAATTGAATGGCGAGTAACACGAGAATGAATTTTAGTAGATGGCACAAGGGACGCTAGCTCTTTAGAGCAGTGCCCATTATAGTATTTGTAGACAAGAGAAAGAGAAGCAACATTACAACGATGTGACAAAGGTTGGAGATTGGCTGCCAGAGCAGGTCCAACTATGTTTACAATTCGTTTTTGCACCTTGTCTAAAAGAGAAAGAGCATCATTAGAAGATCCGCCCCAGATGTGGCAACAGTATTCCATACAGGGACGGATTTGAGATTTATAGAGATAGAGAATAGAATCTGGAGTAAGAAAGTGTTGAGCTCGATAAAGAGATGCAACCTTAGCAGATGCTAATTTTGCAATGGATTTGATATACGGTTTAAAAGAAAGATCAGAAGTAAGAGTTAATCCTAGAAGATGAATGGTAGATGACTCATCTAGTACATTACCATTCATAAATATAGGAAGATCTAAATTATTACGATAACGATTGGCCGAATAAAATTGAGTTTTATCTGAATTAAAGTTCACCAGCCACTGTGAGCCCCATGCTGTAGCAGAAGTGAGATCCTTTTCAAGCTCAGATACCCCCTCCAAGCAATCAGAGAGTGTAGGCTTCTTATCATGACAAGAGTAAATGGTAGTGTCGTCAGCGAATAATGCCACCTTAGATGTGAGAATATCTGGAAGATTGTTAATGTAAATTAAAAAGAGTATAGGGCCAAGGATTGAACCTTGAGGAACCCCTGAAGTTACAGGATGTGAAGAAGAGTGTTGTCCATCGAGGACAACTTTTATACTACGATTGGAAAGAAAGGACTCAATAATCTTAAAGACGTTACCAGCTACACCATAAGAAGAAAGCTTATGGAGAAGACCAGCATGCCAAACTTTATCAAAAGCTTTAGAAATGTCAAGTGCGATAGCCTTAACCTCTCCACCTCTATCTAATGCACGGTAAAACCTATCGGTTATTACTGTTAGCACATCAGCTGTAGAACGAGAAGACCGAAATCCATATTGATGATCAGAAAGTAAGTTATTTGATTCAAGATGAGAGATTAAGTGTTTGTTGATTAAAGATTCAAAAACCTTGCTTATGACAGGAAGAAGACTAATGGGACGGTAGTTAGATGAATCAGATCGCTCTCCGGAATTTTTGAAAATAGGGATAACAGATGCTGCTTTCCAGCATGATGGAAAACAAGACTCTGATAAGCACTTGTTAAATAGTTTAGAAAGTATGGATGAAAGCTCCGGAGAACACCTCTGCAAGACTACAACAGGAATGTTGTCAGGACCACAAGCTGTTGAAGAGTCTAAGCAGGAAATTACTTTAGATACAGAAGCTGAAGTGATGCGAATGTCAAGCAAGGGATCAACCTGTTTGATGGCTATGTCAGGTAAAACGCAACTAGTGGAATCAAGAGATGATATTGATGAAGAGTTCTTAGCAAACAATTCAGCTTTGTCTTTAGGTGAGGTGACAAAGTCTGAACCATACAAGAGAGAAGGAATAACAGATTTGCCCTTATTATTGATACTGTTAAAGATTCTCCAGAAGTCTCGAGAGCCTAATTTTTGTGATGAGATACGAGATTTAATGACCTGGGAATAGCGAGCTTTGGCGTCAGACAAAACCTTTTTACAATGGTTTCTGGCGATAGTGAACAGATGTCTGTTTTCTGGAGAATTGTTTTGCTGATAGATATGGAAGTAACGGTTTCGATTAGAAATTGCTGCAGCGCAATGTGAGGAAAACCAAGGAGAAGAGTGAGGCTTGACCTGGAATCGTCGAGAGGGAATAAAAGATTCCATGCCAGCCTGAATCCACGAAGTTATGTAAGAAGCACATTTGTCAGCAGGAAGACGAAAGATTTCTACCCAAGGGCCATCACGAAGAAAATCACGGAAAGACTCCCAGTCAGCTTTAAGGTAGTTGTATGTGGTACGATGATAGGGGGATTCTGATGAAGTAGAAGAATTTGATAATAGTTTTAGAGAGATCAAACCGTGATCAGAAGTACCTAAGGGTGAATGTGGAGAAAATGAGGAATGACTAGGATCCAAAACAAGACATAAGTCGAGTAGAGAAGGTAAATGATTAGGGTTGTCTGGAAAACGAGTTGGAAAGTTGACTATTTGAGTTACAGATTGAGAAAGGCAAAAGTTGAGGGCCTTAACGCCAGCAGAGTCACTGACACTAGAGCCAAGCCAATCGGTGTGATGGGCATTAAAGTCACCAACAACGACGATATTGGCCGATGTATAAAGAGAGAGGGCTTGGTCAATTTGATCAGAAATAACATCAAGAATAGTGCAATCTTGGGATGAAGGAGAGCGATATAGAACAAAGAGAAAGGCGATAGAGTGAAGTTTTGCTAAACGAAAGCACATAAATGAATAGTCTGTAGATTCAAACCTAGTTTCACGACAAATGGGTGAGTTCTTACGAATGTAGATGCCCAGGCCAAGCATGTGATTATTGGAGTCTTTACGAATTAAAGGAAGATAACCATCAACACTAAGATCACAAGATGGGACAGCCGAAATTAAATTAGTCTCACAAAGAGCAAGTAGGTCTGGTGAACTTTGCAAGAGATAAGACTCAACAGAAGAAAAGTTACTTCGAAGACCACGAATATTAGTAAATGATAGGTTTAGAGAACTTGGTGATGACGATGGTTTTTTGTGTTTTTTAGTTTTAGGTACTTTAGTCATTTTAAATTTATAAAGAACTTGACTCAAGTATAGATAGTACTCAGTACGCTATTTAACAACTAAGCAATAGCCTCATTACTATTAATAAACCCTAAGCCGTAACAAAGGGCTCCAAATGTGGCCTCTGCAATGCACACCAAAAGTACAAACAGGGACACCATCCATGCGCAACATGGCACTGTTAGTACTCTGATATTTTTCGGCTGTTGATGGAATCAGCCTCTCTGAGAGCTACCACAGAGTTCGGGAAACCTGACTACCAGCCGGCCTCAGAACCATAAAACTGAGTTTTAGAGCTGTACCCTCATTAGGAGATAATAGAATGAGTTGCCCAGTCATAAAAATAGAGACACAAGCAATACCCACGCATTGAGTCAAGAAGATCCAGCGTTCAACATCCTAAACTGGAAACAATGTATTAAAAATACATCTGCGCCAGCCTAATAGATGAGGAAGGGGTGCGAGGCTGGTCAACAGATAGAATCTGTTTACCCCTTAAGTCTTTGCCTAGGAGGCCTTCTACAAGACAGCAGCTGGATGCATGTAACATCTGCCCAAGATGAGTATTTTTATCGAGACACCATCTCTAGCCTTTACTCAACCAAGAGCCCCAAGGCAG